GTTCAACATGTAAGAAGTAGAAAGTACAGGTATTTGTGTTCAACATGTAAGAAGTAGAAAGTACAGGTATTTGGGTTCAAAAGTAAAAAGTGAGAAACATAAGTAGTGGAGTAAAGTACTGATACCAGAAACATGTACTTAAATACAGTAACAAAGTATTTGTACTCCACTACTTCCCACCTCTGGTGAACACACACACGTTAACTCGTTGATGCACATCAGGCAACAATATATTGTAAATCCTGCATCAAATCCTGTAAACTCTTTGTACATGATGCACATATACACAAATATATGCAGTAAAATAAGACGAATACTATACTCAGTTTCTCACATATTTATATTTTGTTACAAGTTTTTGTAATAGCTACACCAAAGGAAGTCCCTCGTATGTATAGACCCACTAAAACGGATTTTGATTCTCTTCTTGTTGTCTTTTATTCATTGTCGTTTGTTTGTTTGTTTGTTTGTTTACTCACAGGTGTTCTCTAAGGAGGAGCTAAGGAGGTTCCTGCAGAAGTTGAGGGAGTCGTCTCTCGCTCTGTTGGACCGAGGACTCGACCCGCTGGGCTACGAGCTGCAGCCGTGAACACACACACACACACGGTTTCTGAATCACTGATGTTTTTTTTATCGTGTAACGTTTTTTCAAAAATAAAAGCCTTTGTTTTCCTGTACTTGTGTAGCGTTATCTTTATTTCAATTTGACTTCTTATCGCTGATTACTTAGGGCCTTCAAACTGCATGGTTGTCTCTTTTACATCCAAAACCTGAACAATATTTCGAGTAGATAAGTAAGAATGTATTGGGTGTTATATTTAAGACAAAATAAATTATTAAAATTATTTTGAGCAGTACCATTTTGTTATGTTTTTAAATATTTACATAGTGGGCTTACAAAACTGACATATACAAATAACGTATGAATAGTTTAATATACACAATATTATGTAGTAATATACATACACTACAAGTACATTAACAAATCCATGCTGTGTAGTATATTTATATAATAGTAGTATAATATGAGACAAACATAATACTACTACTGCATATTAATTTGGATTGAAGCACAATTCTTAAAAGTCATTATTTAAAAAAAACTTAGACATTATTTTGAGGAAATGTGTCAAAATAAATTAAAGGGAGGTTTTTTTTTTTTTAAATTGGACCACTAAAGTCTCCAGCTTGTATACATGGTGACTTTAGTTACATCCATGTTGACTGCTTAATAGTAGAATAAATAAACACTAGTGTGCAATATGTAAATTGGAGAAATGTATTACTAATGACACTTGGAAAAACGTTTTAATTTTGTATTTTAATATCATGTGCATGCCCCTATGTGGGAAGAATCATAAAGGTATCCTGATTGAGATTTTGGCAGGAACAAATAATCTTAAAGTGATCTAACTAGAGAATACAAAAATAAAAACGTCATTGTTATTGTATGCCTTCCCTCCATTATTATTAGATGTGGGTGCAGTGTCAGTGTTCTGCCAGCAGGAGAGTCACATGGACAAGTGAAGGAACAACTGCAGAGTTAACATTACATTGGACCTTAGAGCCCCAAACTGTGCAGCAAACTGGTTGAAAGCCGCCTTTTGAAGGATATTATTTAACCGAGAATCACTGACAAGGTAGGTCAACACAACAAAGACTGATGTATATATATATATGATATGTTTAAAATACGTTGTATTGCAGAAGCACAAGTGGGTGGTTAGCTGCGTGCTAACAGGCCGCGGAGCCTCGTGTTTTCTTGGCTGAATGTACCCGGGTTCATGAGCGGGAACGCGGCCACGATGTGTGGACGATGTTACGATAAAAACGACACATTAAATTAACGTTTTAGAACTGAAATTCACTGCTTTTACAGGTTTTAGTTACGGCTTTGTTGTTACGGGTGTTAATGTTAAGTTGTTTAGAGTATTTAATAGTTTAGTTAAGGCAGCGGTAACTGTAGCTAAGCTTGTTAAGTTTTTGAAAGTTCGCCATCGGTTACTCATTTAATATCAACTGTTGCTAGGCAAATTACTTTGTATTTAATATGGGATGATTTTACTCTTAACTAATGTATTAAACTTGTGTTTTGACTTACTTGCAGTTAATTAAAAACGGAGGACGGAGGTTTTTAGCCTGAGATGTAATGTACAATACTAGATTGTACTTTATTGCTCCAAACATGGAACATGTTGCCATATACATCAAATAGCGTATACATATACACTATAAAAAGCGCCAAATTACAGCTAACATGATTTAAAAGTAGGATATTATTTTTCGTTAAGTGTGCAAGGAATAGCATATAAAACTAAGTAACGAGATACAATGCTAACTCGCATTATTATTTATTACAACATATTATTAGGCATGTATGTTGTTATAATCATTAAAAACTAGCTTTAACGTGTCATTTAATTCACTAACAGGAGATAGCATGCAGAGACTGAGTGAAAGCAAACCTCCTAAACTTAAATGTCCTTGTTTTTAACTCTATTTGAAACTATTTTCTCTGGATATTCTTCTATATACATGTAGGTTAATTTGTACTGGTTGTATCCTGAGGTGCTAAATGCATTTTATCTGTGTTCATCGCATGTGAAAGTGCTATAGAGAGTCAGAGTTGACCACAGAGAGCAGGGCAGGGACATGTCTGGGCATATTCCCTGTGTTTGTGCGGCAGCAGCTGACTCACGCTCTCAGTCAGCTGGAGGTGAACAGTCATGTTTTCTGAAGCCTCTTTCTGCCCAGGCGTATTCACTCAAGTGCCAAATAATACACACTTGCACGGATTGGGTCTGGGCATGTTAAGCTCCTAAAGATGTGTTGGGATTTGTGTCCTTTTTTTTGCACAATTTGACAAGTTTTGTGCAGAAATTTCATGTTTTCTTACTTGTAATTTTAATTAAAAAACATTATATTAAGTCAAACTCAAAACCCTCCCTCTGCCCAGACATATTCACTCTGAAGGCCCAAATAATTAACACTTGAGTCTGGGCATATTCTCTTCCTAAAAATGCGTTGATATTTCGGGATTTTGGCCCTTTTTTCCACCTTTCTTTGCACAATTTTACAAGTTTTCTGCAGAAATGTAATGTTTTCTTACTTTTAATTTGAATTAAAAAACATAGCATTAAGTTAAACTCTGAATCCTTTATCCAACTGTAGCATTGTGTATATATTAGAGCTGTAACTATTAGTCAGAAAAATAAATCGCACAACTATTTTTTTATTTGACTTTTCAACAACTTGGAGATTTGCTGTATTTGACATCATATTAAAGTGAATATTATGGGGGTTTTTTTACTGACAAAGAAGACATTTAAAGACTTCACCTTTAACATAGAAACTATGATGGACACTTATCTGTTTTCTGGCATTTTAGTGTTTAGTTTGTTACAGAAAATGCCGNCCCTCCCTCTGCCCAGACATATTCACTCTGAAGGCCCAAATAATTCACACTTGAGTCTGGGCATACTCTCTTCCTAAAAATGCGTTGATATTTAGGGATTTTGGCACAACTATTTTTTAATTTGACTTTTCAACAACTTGGAGATTTGCTGTATTTGACATCATATTAAAGTGAATATTATGTGTTTTTTTTTACTGACAAAGAAGACATTTAAAGACTTCACCTTTAACATAGAAACTATGATGGACACTTATCTGTTTTCTGGCATTTTAGTGTTTAGTTTGTTACAGAAAATGCCGTTTTCACCCAATAAAACATCGCCATTTTCTGCATTTCTCTGTTTTATATGATATTAATGTATATTATGGAGTTATGGACTGACAAAGATGACAGTTAAAGACTTCACCTTTAACCCAGAGAAACTATAATGTACACTTTTACTATTTTCTGACATTTTAGACACCAAACTATCAATAGAGTTTAGAAAATAGTGTTTAGTTTGTTACAGAAAATGCTGTTTTAACCCAATAAAACATCGCCATTTTCTGTTTTATACGATATTAATGTATATTATGGACTGGCAAAGAAGATATTTAAAGACTTCACCTTTAACCTCGAGAAACTGTGATGGACACTTTTACAATTTTCTGACATTTAGGAGACCGAACTCCAAGAAAAAAGTTCTTAGTCGCTCGCATACCTGATACAAATATATTTATGATATTTCTTTCTTGTGTCGTTTCATTACGTATTTAAGCGTCGGGCCGAACCACGCCCCTTAGCTGTGATATAATGAGCATATATCAAGGCCTGAAGTGAGCTATTGCTTTTATAAAACGGTTACCAAGTGTGGCAATATGAAAGAAAAATACACACTCTAATTTAAATAGTTTGTATTAGTAAATAATGATGTTCAAAATAAAATAGTCCCTCCGTGGCCTTCTGCACAAAACATAGTGCGACGTGGTTGCTATGCAACGACACTAACAGCTGGCGAACATATTAGACAGAGAGCGTTGATCCATTATTTGGTTGTTTATTTACCTTAATGTATGTTGTCGTTTATTGTGCACCCACTGAAAAACTGTCCAGCATCAGTAGCATGGCTTACGTGGTCACTTGTATAGGTTGAGGTTGTTCTAGCTGTTGCTTGGCGTGGCGAGAATATTGCTCCACTTTCTCCGGTCCCCGAGATTGGGCTTCCAGTAGCTCTGGAGAGAGCTTTCGCACCTGTGGCCACTAACGGTCATAATTTCTCTGCTTTGTTTCAAGACCCGCATCAGAAAGCTTTTGAATGGTGGTACTTTTCCAGTTGGTCTACCTGCTCTTCACGTAGCTCTGCATGTCGTAGTTTAGGTGCTTTTTTTTCTGGAGATAGGCACTGCTCAATCCACTCCTCCATACTATAGTAAGACCCCCCCGGAGGTCGAAGTTAATCTTAAATGTTTCCATTTTATGCTTTGTAAGTTTGTTTCGTAACGGAAGAAATTTAAATATATTTATAAAACTGACAAGTCAAATCAAGCAATCTGATTGGTCGATAGCGTTTTTGCGGACCTCTTTGATTACAGATTTGAAAACATCGTTGCTTGCTTTAAAAGTAGCACAAGTCATTATGTTAAACCTTCAAAAGTATCTAGATATCCCTGCCCTAATGCCAAAGGAACTGCACACTGAATATGTTTTGCCGTTTGATGTCTATGTCTGGACCGCTGCGTCAAAAAGGAGGGCTTCTGCCCCGTTACTTCTCCGCTGCTTTCTTGTTCCAGTATGAAAAGCAATTTCAGCCCAACGGTATACTGTTTTTCTCAGACGCGGAGGGATACTGACTTGTTGTGAAAAGTAACTTACAATTCTACCCGTGGTATACGCTCAGTATATCACGGCTAAGAACCAATCAGATTGCTTGATTTGACTTGTCCGTTTTATAAAAATACATATACATGTGGAAAATACACATTTACAGTAAGAAAATATAAAGCAGGATATTATATATTAATTGTGTAAGGAATGGATTATTAAACATTACAAATCTTACAAAGCAAATTTTTGTTCTTATTTCGTGAAGACGTGGTGAAGACACGTGCGTGAAGACGAGGTGTCTTTACGTGAAGACACCTCGTCTTCACGTGAAAACCCCTCGTCTCCATTATTATTTGAACTTGTTTTTAGAGCTGCATTTGTTCCAGTGTTGGAAAGCAACTGTTAGAAATGAATGAAAGGAGAGGCAGTGATTTCTCGTTGCATCACCACGTTGGCAGACTCCGTATTTTAGAAATAATGTGTTCATTGTGTTGAAAGCGTGACCTTTAAGAGGAGCTATTTCTGTGAGAGTGCATCACATGTTTGAGAGCATCGAGGAAAAGAGAAACACACCGAGTGGAAACCTGATCTGTTTCTGCATATCGTGTTGCATCAGGACGCAGAGCGGACCCACACAAACATGGCGGACAAAAGGCCGTGTGTTAGGGGACGGAAAAAACACAGTTTCCCTTAAAGTGTGACACTCTTGATTTAGTGATTGAAGAGCTTTTGCACAGAATCAACAAAACAAAGCAATTCAAACAAAATGTGAGAAAAAACTGATTTCCTCTCTTTTTATGGTGGATTTTCATCATTTATCTGCTAATAGAATACATTAGGTCATTTCCCGGTGGGCTCGGCCTTTACACCCAAAACAAACATAAAGTGTCCCTTAAGTATGACACTCTTAACTGAGTGATCTACGTAAGAGCTTTTGAACAGAATCAAATCAAAAATGTTTCTGTACATGAAAACGGGCCAAAAGGCGTCGATGGCCGTTCACTGCTTTGTTATAAAGCATCTAAAAAGAGACGAATCAAACAAAGTCAACTGTAAACAGTATCTTTATATCTCATGAAACAGCTGATTACATCTCTGCAGGGTTTTAAATTCATTTTTGCATATTTTTGTGCTGGTTTTATATAATTTTGTGGACATTTTTTTTTCTTTTTCTGGCCGTTAATTATCTTTTTTTGCATCGTTCTTTTGCTATTTGGTATCTTTTTGTTGGGCTTTGCAGGATTTCTAAGTAATTTTGTATCGTTTTGTTTTAAACTTCACTTGTTTTGATTGTCTTTGGATGCATTGTAGGAATTGTACTCATTTTGCATCTCCTTTTTAGTATGTTTAGGGTCATACGAACAATGTCCTTAGAGGAAATCAAAGCTGTAATCGTAACAGCGTTTGGTTTCTGCAGCTTTTAGTAAACGCTGCCATGTCTCCTCAAGTTGCTGAATGTTCTCTAAACGCTGCACGTGAAGTTGCTGAAGACGTTTCTTCATGAGGAACATTTGGGTTTTTGTATCTGCATCCTTTCTGAAGCTGCAGAATATCACAGTTTTGTTGCAGCGCGTTGGCACCTGTCGGCCTCCGTAGATTTACTCCGGAAAAACCCAAATCAATCGTCTTATTGTTTGACTTCAAAAGAGTAAAAGAAACAAAGGTCTTTGTGTGAAGTTGCCCTGGATGAGATGTAATTCACATTAATCACATGTCTGTTGTTTCTAAACACGCTCCAACGTCTGGGAAACAAATAAAAAACTCAGATCATAACTACACATAAATCACCGTCGTGTGAAACGCTGCTGCCCGCGCTGTGTAAACAGTTTCCCCCCAGGAATGATTTCCACACAGATATGATCGTGTGTGTGTGTGTGTGTGTGTGTGTGTGTGTGTGTGTGTGTGTGTGTGTGTGTGTGTGTGTGTGTGTGTGTGTGTGTGTGTGTGTGTGTGTGTGTGTGTGGGTGTGTGTGTGTGTGTGTGTGTGTGTGTGTCT